AAAAAGCCATTTGATTGTGTGGATAAAATTGAGAAGAATGAGCATTTCAAGCACTTCATTGTGTCACACAAAATCTGTAAATGAAACATGAAGAAGTCATTTGAACAGAACAAGGTGATCTAGTACAGTTTAAAATCAGAGGATTGTCTCATATTTATTTCCCCCGTATCTATTCAATATATATACTGAGAAAATAGTTTTAGAAAATAAACTATATGAAGAAGACTGTGGCACTTGAAAAGTAGTGAAGATTCATCAACAATTTATGTTATACAAAAGACCCTTGTTTGTAGAAAGTTATGAGATTGTAAACTATTGCTGAAGAAGATCCAAGATTACAGCATTCAATATAGATCACTTCTCAATGTCAATACAACAATCTTCACAGTATACTAAAAGACAACATTATGATAGACAGAGAAAAGGTTGAAGTCATTAATTATTTTATTTTACTTGTATCTGCAACCAATACCCATGACAGCAGCAGTAAGAAATCAAGACATGTTGAGTTGAAACAAATGCTGTCAAGAATCTCTTTAAAGTGTTAATGAAGATATCAGTTTAAATATTAAGATGCTCTTGAACCAAAGCACAGTATTTTCAATTGCACCATAGGTTTGGGAAAGTTGATGATAGAACAAGGAAGACTGAGGAAGAATCCATGCCTTTGAACTATAATGTTTGGCAAAGAGTACAAAATACTTCATGGACTGCCAAAAGTACAAAGAAACCTGTCTTAAGGGAAATGCAACCAGCTCATTCCTTAGAGGAAATAATGAAATTCCATCTCATATACTCTGGACATTTTATCAGTAGGCACAAGTCTTCCATAAAAGAACTTATTAAGAAAATAAAAGGGTCATCATAAAAAATACTAAATAGATTGGCATAATAGCTACAAAAAATGAGCTTGAATATTGTGGAAAATGTAAGGACAACACAGGGTAGGGAAAGGTTTTGATTTATGAGGTGAATTCGACTTGCTGGCACTTAAGAAAAACACTACCACAATTCTGATCCATTGAAACATGAATATCATCAAGATCCCCAATGTCAGAGAAAATTTTTACTTCTATGCAGCAAGATTAGAATGATCTGGTGGCATTATCCACATCAAATTCTGCTGCTAACTTACAGACCAGTGTACATCTGATATAGTTCAATCTGTCTGACTCAGAGGGAGACAGGTCTGCAGTCTCCTGTCTTTAAAGTTCAACCTCTAAAAATCAATGAATGAAGGATTCCTATGAGTCAGAATCGGCTTGTGAACAGTGACTTTCAGTTTAAAATGTGCCAGGGACCGAAGGGTGAGAGAGTTGTATTGCTAACTCAGATAGTGGTTTCAATCCACTAGTTACTCCAAGAGAGAAAAGTGGGCAATCTCCTATGTGATTTAAAGCCTCTGAAACGTGCCTGAAGGATCAGTCAGATATGAGTGAGTTTAAGTTCCTTGTAGGTGAGTACTAATATTGGAGAAGGCTTTATTTCCACCTGAGAGCAACACAGCACAGTTTATAGGATAAATTTTTAACTGGTTTATTTGGTTTTGAATTTGCTTTTTAAAAATGGCTTATTTTGGTTTTATTATCTTCTTATCTGATATTTACTTTGCAATCTTGTGAAGTGACATATTTTCCTATAAAAATTTCTTTCTAGCTACCAAAGAAAGCCTTTCTCTTATTTATTTATTTAGCTGTAACTTGAGTGAAAGTTTGTAAGCTTATTGTTTTTCCAATCAGACAACACACATTTTGTCCCACAGCATCAATTATAACTAGAATGTTGATTTCTTTTTTATTTAAGACAGATTTTTAAATCTAAATTATAACAAATGCTTTTTAAATAAATGCTAGTATTTCAGAAGTCCTAGAGAGGCTGTCAGTTTGAACCCAACAGTTTCTCAGAGGGTATAGGATGAAGGCTTGAAGTGGGGTGATCAAGTGAAAATTTACACCTGGGAAACTACCTGAGGACATTCTACAGTTCTTCTCAATCCTATAGGATCATTATGCCTTAGAATTTACTCAAACACACTGGGTTGGTTTGGGTTTTCCACTGCTGAGTTATCAGATATCAACATTTTAGTCCAACCAATTTTTAAAAGGGAGGGAAGAGACCAAAAAAGAAAAGTAAAGAACACCAACAAAAACCAAACATGCAGACAACAACAATAACAAGAGAATTTTTCAAGATTTTAATCTCACTGTCTTGGGGTTATGTGGGGTTTGGGGATCTTTTTTTTTTTATGTGGATTTCCCCCCCCCACGCTTTCCTTCATTGCCATTATGTTTCATACAATCATTCCCTTTTACTGTTTTATAAAATTGATCACCATTGAATTATACCCACCATTACCCTGGCCCATTTTCAGGCCTGCCTAGATATTTTACTTCCCCCCCTTCCTCCCTTCACCCATCAAATTGTGTGTTCCTCTGGTTTCCTGAGACTGTAATTCTAATAGTTTAAGTGCTACTAGAAGAGGGAAGGTGAGCAACTTCTAAGATGAATGAGACTGTGCTCTGTAAATTTTGAAGTAAGAAGAAATTATGCTAATGAGTAAAATAAATTTCCTTCATGGCCAAGAAAATTGGCTAAAAATGGATCTCCGGTACAGGGACCATAGGGGCCAGAAAATTTCTAGTCATTATCATGTGTATTATTCAAATGTATGACCTGGAAGGAGTCCTTGTCACTATGTGCACTTGAGGTGCTGAAGTGCTCTCCATTGGGGTGCATCAACTAAGTTCTTAATGTCCTCCCCTTCATTGCCCAGCCCTGGTAAACAATCCGAATTGTGATCTTACAGGACCCCAGTAAATTACAAAGATCATTCTTCAATAATTATCAGCATGGCTTTGTAGAAAGATGACTTTCATATTCACATAGCTCTATGGCAGAGGCTGACAAACTATAGTCTATGAGGATAATCTCAAATGTTCTTACCTGTTTTTGTAAAAATTCTTTTGGAATATGGGAATATACTTTTCTTTTTAACATATTGCACTGAGTTGATTTCAAACTACAATAGAGTTGATTGGATATCAATGACAAAGACTGTGTGACCACCAAGTCATAAAATATTCATCATTTACTGGAAAAAAAAATCCTTGGGTTATGAAAATGAAGAAGATGCCAGGAGCTTATATCAGTTGTGTTGTTTTCCAATAATCTTTACAGCAGAAATACTCTCACTACTGGCTAAAATATATTTAAACTTTATTTTAGCACTCAAATGAAGAGGAAATAAACTTTACCCACAAAGTAAGCTAGTGACTTCCTTCTGAAATAGTCTGAATTCCTGCCAGTTTCTTTAAGGCCCCCTTGACGTCTTTGTTTCTCAGGGTATAGATTGTAGGGTTGAGCATGGGGGTAACTACATTGCCAAAGATCTGCACTGGGGTTACAAGTACCTCACTCAAAGATGGCTGAGTATAGATGAGAGCACAGGGTCCAAAGAACAGTGTGACCACTGAAAGGTGAGAAACACAAGTAGACGCCGCTTTGCGTCTCCCTTCAGCAGAGTGCATCTTTAGGATTGCAACGACAATGCGAATATAAGAGGCAAGTATGAGAAGGAAACAGGTCATAGGCACAAGGCCAATGTTAGTGAAGCTCACTGTCTCAATGATAAGCGTGTTCCCACAGGCCAATTTGACTACAGGGAAAATGTCACAAAAGAAATAGTCCACCTCATTAGAGCCACAATATGGCAGTTGGAAGGTCAGCGTAGTAAGAATTGTGGCATGAAAGGAACTGGTAAACCAGGTACCAGCAGCCAACAGGCCGCATACTCGACGATTCATGATGATAGTGTAACGCAGTGGATGACAGATCGCAGCAAACCGGTCATATGCCATCACTGTGTAGAGTAGACATTCAGTGCTACCTAAAAAATGGTAGAAAAAGACCTGGCACATACAGCCACCCAAGGAGATGACTCGATTCCTCACGAGCAGGTTGGCCAACATCTTTGGAGTGCTAACAGAAGAGAAACCAATGTCCAGCACTGACAGGTTACAAAGAAAGAAATACATAGGTGTGTGGAGACGCGAATCTGACATCACAGCCACAAGGATGAGCAGATTTCCTAGCAGTGTGCAGAGGTAGAAAAATAGGAAGACAACAAAGAGCACAGTTTCCTGACCTTCTGTGTGTGGGATGCCCAACAGGATGAATTCTGTTACCAAAGTGTGATTCTTTATCTCCATAGGGATTAGATTTTTATCCTGGAGAGGAGGAAAATGACAGTAAGTTAATGGAACAAGTCATCAGTTTCCACATTTTGCTACCTTTCTCATTTATCATGCCAGCATTGGAAGAAATGTAATACAATCATCAGATCCACAAGGAGAAAAGAAATCCTAGCTCTTACTAATGAAAAGATGTTTTTATCATTACTCACACTGCAAAAGAAGCAATATTTTGCCTCAGAAAGCAGTGTGGTATGTTGTGGGAGATCTGAATGCAACTAACTGACTGACTAATGGGTTTTATTTTACTATCATTACTATAAAAATAACAAATGACAATATAAGTAGAAATGTAGAAGACTAAGGAAAGGAACGACAAAGGGAAAAAAGGAAATAAGAACAGTAGAGAAGTAGAGTTTGCATAGAATGCTTGTAAAACTCATTGTCTACCTAAATCTTAAGATTAAAAGAATTCTTATTTCCATCTCAAGGAAGATAAAAGAATTATAAATCAGTGAAATAATTTGTTCATATTCTCATATACACTATGTGGAGGTTTTGTATTTGAACCTTCAGACTCTAAATAAATTATATCATAATTAAGAATTATGAATATGTGAATAAAGGAAGATTAACATATTCTCTGTGCTGAAAGAAACTTAATGTTTGTTTAACTCAATCATTTCCTATTTGTTTGGGTTTTTTTTTATCTAAAACATTCTTGTACAGTGACTGGTTAGTTTCTAATTTCCATCATTAAAATCCTTCCCCCCCCCCGTTTTGCTTTTTTATTGTTGATTGTTGCCTTTTGCTTTCCAGTTTTCTCACTTTTTTTTGTTTGCTTTTTCATATTATTGTTCTTGATGGATGGGTGTGTGTGTGTGTGTTTAAGGTAATTTTTTAACCTTTTATTTATGTTACTTCTTACTGCAATTCTTACACATTTGTTGAAGCACTTTCCGCAGAAGGGCAGACTACAGTCCTCAATATGGATTGTGTCTCAACATCAAGAAGATAAAAATCCTCATCAATGGTCCAATAATCAACATCACGATAGATGGAGAAAAGATTGGAGTTCTCAATAGTTTCATCTTGCTCAGATTCACAATCAGCACCTTGGTGGCAGCAGTCAGGAGATCAGGAGATATATTGCATTGGACAAGTCTGCTATCAGGAAACTCTCCAAATTACTGAAGAGCAATGATGTCAGTTTGGAAACTAAAATGTGCCTGATTCAGACCATAGTGCTTTCAATCACTTGTTATACATCTGAAAGTTGGATAGCAAATAAGGATGATAGAAGAAGATTTGATAACTTTGAGCTGTGGTATTGGAGAAGAGTACTGAACACTCTATTGACTGACAAAAAAAAAAACAGTCTTGGAGAAGGTGCAGCCAGAGTGCTCCTTGAAGGCAAAGACGGCAAAGCTCCATCTCACATACTGTGGGCATGTTGTTAGGAAAGATTATTCCTTGGAGAGGGTATCATGCTTGGCAAGGTAGAGGGTCAGCAAAAGAGAGGAAAAAATCCTCAACAAGATGGATTGACACAGTGACAGTAGCAACAGGCCCAAGTGTGTCACAGATGATGAGGATGCCATAGTATAGGACAAGGTTCAGATCTGTTGTTCATAGGGTTGCTATGAGTTCTTTTTACCTTAATGGTACCTAACAACAACAAATTTATACTCTACTTTCTTTTCATTCTATGAGTAGGAAAGATATCTAGGTTTTTTAATGATCTTTTCAATTAAATAATTTTTAAAATAAAAAAACAATAAAGAAAACAAAACAAATATCTTAATTTAACTAAAATACCACAAGCTTAGGAATCTACCACATGAACTCAGTTGTACTTAACACATTGAGTATGTGAAAGAAAATCACAAACTGAAAAATTAGGATTAGTATAAGGAGTACTTACAAATATTCATTTGCACAATCATCATACTCATTCTTTTGCACTTTTCTTTTTTATTGCATCAAAAAGTAATGAAATAAAAAGATAATGAGGGGAAAATGACTGGGATAGCAGAAGTTAGTGAGTTTAGGATGGGTGAAGTAATAGGAAAAGTTCAATGGGTATTTTAAAAAGAGTGATAGTAGAAAAAAAGAACAGAATAAAAAAAGAAAAAAGTGGTAATAGTAATTATGTAAAATATTGTGTATATGAGTGATTGTGTAAAACGCAAAGTACATGTCCAATGTATGTGAATTTGGAAAACAATAAGATACAGGGAATGTTTAAAATAGAATTATAAAATAGATCCTAGAGACCAGATAGATCATTTCTTTCTGGTGATACAATTAGATATTTTTACCCATGATATTTTAGACAAGAAAACCACCTGTTTCTGTAAATTTTAAATTAGAAAAGAGAGAGATTATCAGATCAGAATTGAAGGATTATGCTTTCAACAAAGAAAATTAGGTAAAGCTTCATCATTAAAGAGAAAAAATATCCCCAAATGCACAATTTTGTTATTCTTTATATTGAATAGGTGTTTATTGACCATGGACTATGACCAGAAATCATGTGAAATGTGTAAATAGCAATATTAATATTCTAGACTCCTCTAACCAGAAACACATAAACTTGTGTAAGAAAAGAAATAGAAATTAAATAAGCATGATTCAATGTAATAAATATATTATTAAAGGTATATATATGCATGAGATAGTTAAGAAATTAATAGTTTATGTTACAGTTTTAAGAGAAATCTTTATGAGGAAGGAAAAATTCAAAGTCTGTACTGTGAACAACTCTAGATGATATTTGTCTTTCATCAATTATGCAACATAATGAGTTTCATATTTAGATAACAGACTTTACTAGTAATGCACAGGATGCTCTACAATGGGATGGATAGAAAGGATCTAGGAAGGCAAACTGCAAATTTTTTTAGATATTTTTTACCAAGATAGGAAGCACACCAATTGCCCGATGGTCAACACACTGGACCACCAGGTCTCCTTAAGTATACCATTAACTGGTATATATCGCTATGCATGTAATTGGTACATGAATTGGTAGTGATTATAACACTAATTGATACTACGGGGGAAAGATAGTTAATCTCCTCCTGTTTGATTAACTGGCTCTAAAAAGTCACCATAGGGTCAACCATGGGTCAGTTCTGACTTGACGTTACGCAACGACACCAATTGACATATTAGTGTTCTGGGAGTTCTGGTGGCTTAGTGGTAAGAAGCTGTGCTGCAATCCCAAAAGGTACATAGTTTGAATCAACCAGCTGGTCCTCCAGAGAAGGATGGGCAGTTTCCTCCTATGTGATTTTCTGTCTCTGAAAACCTTCGTCAGGAATAATGGCTCACAATAAGTGACATATCATGATGTGTGTGAAGTTTATATGTGTATAATATTTTTATATTAAAAATGTGTTATTTTAATTTTTTAATTGTTGCACATTTTCACCTTCTTCCCCTCCCTCTTCACAATGTACCCCTTGTTCCAGACTGTTTCATATATATATATATATATATATATTTGTGTGTGTAGATACAGATACATTCATATGTATTATTCTGGAGGGTAAGTTGTTTTGATTTAGTTGAAAGTTAGCTATAAACTGTACGTTATTTACTTAATTCACAATCACATGTAAGCTGATTAGTCACCTGAATTTAGCTAACAATAAGATGTGGACTGGAAGCCTCTTTCTTAAGATTGTTGGGACCTGGTGGGCAGGCCTTTGTTGGCCTGGTGTAATTGTGTTTGTGGAGAACATTATTCTAAGTGGTCCAGCACTTGTATGTCAGTTTGTTGTACTGAGATAACTTGGGGTTGCTCTGATACTGAACGGCATGCTACTGGTGTCAAATGCCATAATTTGTTACCCATAGTGGACAGGGTTTGGTAGAGCTTCCATATTAAGTCAGACTGGGAGCAGGATTGGCATTCACTTACTTCTTAAATAACAGGCCTCTGAAAACACAATGAACACTAGAGAAACAATGAAAGTTATATAATAGGGTTCAGATATTTTGTCTATAGTGTTGCTTTGAGTCATTACTCGACTCATAGGCACTAAACAACAACACCATCATTGTAAAATGTGGTGACAGTATACCTGTGTTTATGTTAAGTCTAGGGAAAAAAACCAAAACCCACATTGCAATAAAATGCAACACCCCTCAAAAAAAAAATTAAGGCAACCAACTAGTCAAGGGAGGAAGAAATAATAAGTTCACAAACATCTCTCAAATAGAATTGATGTTACTGAGTGGTGTGAACAGCATCACTTTCAGCTGTTAAATGAGAGGATAGAAGTTTAATTCTTTTACAAGGGTGCTTCAGGACAAATGCTTGAAGATCTATCTCTAAAAAGCAGCCATTGAAAGTCCCCTGGAGCAGCTTTCTTCTGACACAGATAGGGACACCATTAGTCAGAACAAACTCAAAGGCAACTGTAAAATAAATAAAAATGAAAGAAAGGAAGGAAGGAAGGGAGGGAGGGAGGGAGGGAGGAAGGAGAAGAGAAGAGGAGAGAAGAGAAGAGAAGAGAAGAGAAGAGAAGAGAAAAGAAAAAGAAAGAAAGAAAGAAAGAAAGAAAGAAAGAAAGAATTGGATAAATTCTATCAAATTTACATGCTTGTTTTGTATCACTTTAAAAGAGGTCCTTTGCAATAAGTTTGAGGATTTCAGTCTTTCACGTATAATTAAGCTTACAATACATTTTAAGCTGAATTATAAATACATCTTTAAATCTTTCCCCAAATCCCATATTATAGGTATTATCATCATAAACTGAGGCATAAAAAGTTTAAGCAACTTAATCAATGTTATCAACTGTGGTAAGAATCAATTATGTGTTTATAGCAGTATCATTTTATGATATGCTTATGAATGGTTTAGGAACTTACTTAATTTACTCTATATTACTAGCCCTGCATATTGGAAAAAAAACAATTATGCAACTATGGTTTCAAAGAATGTGTCAAACATTTAGCTGGATGTAAAGAATGTCAGGATGAATATTTATTTGATGTATGATACT